TAGCCTCCGTTTTACTTGGAACATCAGGAAATAAATGTATGTATTTATGTATTAAAGATTTTAACTCATCTTTTTCAACATCACTTAAATGATTAAGTTTAGTATCTAAATTTGAAAGTATAACAGAATTCTTTAATTTAATATCACATTGTATAGGTTCTATAACTTCTTGTTCATCATTCGACAAAACAGCAGATAAATTAGCAAATGAAATGAAATGAAATGAAATGGGGTTTAACGTCCTACTGTTTTGCTCCGAACTGGGCTAATGAAGACGGGCATACGCCATACAGTGTGCTATGAGGGAAATTTTGCCCGGACAGCGGCACTACGGCCTACTCTTATATCGAATTCCAACTGTCAAGGGATCTTTAACGTGCACGCCAATGTGTACACGGGACCTCGGTTTTTCGTCCCATCCGAACGACTAGACAGCTGTCCTTGTCAGCCCCTCCGTCCTGCATCACAGATAAATTAGCAACAGGTCTACTAATGTTTGAAGTTTCTCTCTCAATATATGGCTTTAACATGTTAATATGACATAACTGGTTTTGTTTTCGACGACCAGGCGTTTTAATAACATAATCTAAGTCACTAACTTTAGATTCAACTTCATAAGGACCGTGATATCGGGCCTGTAGCGGACTACCAGGAATAGGTAAAAAGGCAAGCACCTTGTCACCAGATTTAAAATTACGATTCTTGGCTTTCTTGTCATACCAGTATTTCATTTTGACCTGGCTATTTTTAAGATTTTCTTTGGCAATTTCACATGCTCTTTTAAGTCTTTCTTTAAAACTAACAACATAATCTAACATATTGATATTAGTATCATCACCTAACCATTTCTCTTTAAGAAATGTAAGCGGTCCCCGCACTGAGTGGCCAAATACTAATTCGAATGGGCTGAATCCAAGGGACTCCTGAACGGCTTCTCGAGCGGCAAATAAAAGAAGATGGACGCCTTCGTCCCAATCTCTTTTGTGCTCTAAACAATATGACCGAATCATATTTTTTAAAGTTTGGTGGAAACGTTCAAGCGCCCCCTGCGATTGAGGGTGATATGCACTAGATTTAAATTGATTAATATCTAACTGATGCATGACTTGCTGAAACAAATTAGACATAAAATTAGATCCTTGATCTGACTGTATAGATTTAGGTAAACCAACTAATGTGAAAAATTTAATTAAAGCTTTCACTATATTTGGCGTTTTAATATTTCTAAGAGGAATCGCCTCTGGAAAACGAGTGGAGGCACACATAATTGTTAAAAGGTATTCATTGCCTGTTTTTGTTTTAGGAAGTGGTCCCACACAATCGATAAGTACTCTACTAAAAGGTTCTTCAAATGCTGGGATGGGATACAGAGGCGCGATAGGAATTATCTGATTAGGCTTTCCAACAACCTGACAGTTGTGACATGACTTGCACAATTCAACAACATCCTTTTTCAGATTCGGCCAATAAAAATGGTTTAAGATCCTTTGGTAGGTCTTGTTAACTCCCAAATGACCAGCCATGGGCAAATCATGGGCTAAACTTATAACCTCTTGACGATATAATTTTGGCACAACAATCTGATGAACAACCTTCCACTCATCACTAACATTCGCATCTGGCGGTCTCCATTTCCTCATCAAAACATTATCATTTTTATAAAAACAAATAGGGACATTCTCCACCTCGTCTAAAGATAAACACTGACCATAACAATTGACAAGATCAGGGTCATTTCCTTGTTCAATAATTAATTCAGAACGACTTAAAGGGTCTGGACCTAAACCTTCAAGATTATTAGGGTGAAAAGAGGTACTGTCGTGTAAAATAGGAACTTGGTCCTTATCAAATGAAGCATCAAACTGAATATCAGGAATATTCGCCATAAAAGTGTCCTCTAACACATAAGAATCTTCATTAATAGACATATCCTCATTAAGAGATTTCTTTTCAGACATCTTACTCATAGCCCTAGTAACTGCACAAGCAGGGTAAGTAAATAAATCAGAATCCTGATTATCGTGAACAGGCTTTTCAAAAGAAGGATTATTTGATAGAATCGGGTTAACAATAACTTTATCACCCGCTAAGTCATTCCCTAGTAATAAATCTATACCTTCTACAGGAAGAGTAGGTCTAATACCCACAGTAACACGCCCAGAAACTAAATCTGACTTTAAGTTAATATCATGAAGAGGTACACTAACAAAGCCCAAATGAACACCCTGAATAAGAACATTAGCATCTACAGAAGACTTTGATGAAAAGGGTAAAACTTTTTCTAACATCAAACTTTGTGAAGCTCCTGTATCACGTAATATCCTAAGGGTTTTTAAATTGGCATCGTCACCTACAAGTGACACTAATCCTTCAGACACAAAAGGCTTAAACTCCTCAATAATAAATTCAGACGCAGCATTATCAACAACCTTTTCAGGGAAGTTTAATTTAATTGGCGCTTCAGGGCTTTTTAATGAAACACAAGCACTGGATTTTAAACTAGTATTTTTATTTTATTTTCTTTGAAGAATCCAGCACTCTGAAATAATATGCCCTTTTTTATGACAATAAGAACATACAGGTATTTTATGATGATCCACCCCTTTATATGCTTCTGGCTTAGGCCTAACAGTGCTATCACTATTTGACTTGACTTTATCATAAGTTTGAGGGTTAAAGGGTGATCTACTCTGAATTACTTTATTTGGGGTATAATGAGAGGTAGCGGCATGGGGAGATTTGTCTAGCCTTTGGCTACTTTTAGTAGAAATTAAATCATGTGTGAGTGAATAGTCATCAGCCATTGTAGCTGCTTCACTTAGTGTGCTTACTTTATGTTCGTCTAGAAATGTTCTAATATCAACATGTATACAATGTTTAAATTCTTCTAGTAACATAAGTTGTCTAAGTTTACTAAAGTTTCTATTAATTTCTTTAGAATCAAGCCACCTATCAAATAAGTGTTCTTTTACTCTGGAAAATTCTACATGTGTTTGTTCATTAACTTTGATTGAATTTCTAAATTTTTGTCTATATGCCTCTGGGACTAAAGCATAGGCATTAAGAATTGCATGTTTGACTGTATCATAATTAGAACTTTGTTCAAGGGACATAGCTGAAAATATTTCTCTAGCTTTACCTAATAATACACTTTGTAATAATAGTGTCCAATTTTCTTTTGGCCATTTTAAACTAGCAGCTATCTTTTCAAAATGTAAAAAATACTGATCTATTTCCTTTTCTTGAAATTTAGGAACTAATCTGATATGCTTTGCTGCATCAAAATGATTTAATAATGACTGCTGTGTGGAGTGTGACTGATTTGCCAATTCAATTTCTTTTATCTTAATTTCCTTTTGAATTTCTAATTCTTTAATATGTACTTCTTGCCTTTGTTGTAATTCTAGTCGTTTTAACTGATGTTGAAATTCTAACTCTTTTAATTTTAAAACATCTACATCACCTGGTATCTCACTAATTAAATCTAAGGCATCTTCATCAAAAATATTATTATCAACCAAGGTTTTAAGTACTGCATTTTTAATTATGTTCTTTCTCATAGATTGATTTACTTTAACTTTGAAATGAATGGCAAGTTCTAACAATTCAACCTTCTTTAATCCGTCAAACTCCACCAGAGTTGGTTTTGACAAAAATGTTTGGACAGTAAACACCATATTGACTTTCTACTTTCTGCTGATTTATAAATATACCAAAACACAAATCTGTGTATTATAAATTTCGTTTACATAAGAAATTTAACTAATATCATAAATATATACGGATTATCCCGGACTTAAGCCCCCAATTTCTGTTACGTCACTTAAAACAAGGCCAGAAATAACCTATTCATGAAATACGCCCCGTCAGCAGAAATTATAGACAACGTCAATGTACAATTAATAACATGATTTATTACAGTGAACGGTAAACAACAATCACAAACATGGTAATACGAGAGAATCATACAAAAACATACGTAACGGACTTGTAATGGACATTAAATATTAGACAGTATTATTAATTATATATTAAAGAATCAGTTCCTGACACAAATGTTGGTCAACACACATTCCGATGTCACGTGGGTCGAACTATTCTGGAATCTGCGTTGATGCTGGAATCTTCTACTCTATCGCGAATTACTTACTATAATCATGAAACGAACTTGATACGAGTTATCAACGATGATTTAGACATATTACCGAACATTCACACGGTATAAAATAATGCAATAACTTATATCTAACTATGCAATGAAAGAATTTACACACGAAACTTCACAACAAATCTCCACCATGCCGCTGGTTCCCATGCATCTGCCGCAACCCCGGCATCACGTGGTCACCAGCACGCGCTCGTCTTGATTAAAAAGTCTCTAAATTCTGCAACAATGCTAGCAGACGAATCACACCACAACTATTATTCATTATAATCATAGAGACAATTATACACACATAACAATATCATGTAATACATGACACAACACAATGTGGAAGTAATTAGTAAAGTCATCTCGAATTTTATCCCTTGCTTTAAGCATTTGGCAAAAAATGGAAAATTGTGACATTTTGGCCGCTATTTTTTGTGTCCTTATCGGGTTTCGGCGACCTCAAAAATCCCGCTTATGTGTCAGACGCTCTAATACACTTTTCAATTTTTCGATTACATACCTAAATACAGAATAAGGCTTATTTGTGTATCATTTTATTAGACACCAACAGTTCACAGTGTGCATGCCAGATCAATATTTAAAACATCGCTTTCTATCCGATCCCAGCAAAAAGTGACCGACATGGAAATATATGTTATAGATTTGCATGTTCTACACATCATATAGATATGTATTTTCAACGCATCACATCCAAAAATCAAATGATTTCATAAATAATTATAATAATTATGGACAATTGAAATATGGACAAAAACAATCTTAGTTATCACCGGAAAGAACTTAAAAGAATGGGGGTGGGGTTATGTATAACTCTTGTGCAATGAAAATGATGTTCGAAGATGTTAGACATTTTTACCGGTCATTTGTCGAAGAGGCAAAGTCACAGCAATAATCCAACATATTAGTATTTGATCTACCTGTTTTTCTAATACCATACTCCCATTAACATCCCGATTGTCTTTGACGATTTATTTTAGCCAACAAATTCTAGAAAATTTTACGATTTCAATGAAAACAAAAGTATGTAGTTTGGTACCAGTCTCACCATGAATGGCGGGTCTGTACAACCGTCTTTTCCGTGCCATTTGGATTGGCCTGCGTAGTGGGAAATTACAGATTTTTTCTAGGAGTTTCTTGAGTTCTATCTTTCAAATATATTTCGATTAATCTTTCACATACTGACAAAAAGGGATGCAAAAATATACGACCATATTTAAATGAGTTCAAATGCAAAATTGTATCTTAAAACATTTGTTTTGTGGACAATGTTCTGTAATATTAAGAGGATCCTAAAATTATTTTTTTTAATATCCGGCATATTGAAGAACTAAAATGCTTTGCCAATTTAATGATTCACATCTAAACACCACAATTGTTTAAAATTGTAGCGCTGTTAAGCCGGAATGAAATCCAATATATCATATGAGAATCGAATGCTTCAAGCAAATATATGTCTGACAATAGGAAATAAATGTGCAAACGTCTATAAATAGCAGAGAAAATTGTAAAATTGAATCAAATTATTCATAATATTAAATACAAATACCTTCAGCACAAACATCCTACACTTTTAATATTGCCGTTTACAATTGTCTATATATAAGAAATACAGTCGGTCTTAATCGTTAGTAAAAACGGACTGAAATGAAATGGGGTTTAGCATACCTAATTGTCAAGGATTCTATTACGTGTACGCCAATGTGTACACGGCACCTCGGTTTTTCGTCCCATCTGTGCTGCACTACTGACAAGGGGAACCACGCCGGAAAACCCAGAGGAAATTTCTCGGCAAACACCGGGATTGAATCCGGGACCTCCAGGTTAGCGAGCCAGCATCTCTTTGTCTACTACTAATTGAGTCACCACGGTTCCTATAGCCTTACTAGATAAAAAAAATCCGAAGTTTCTATGAATAGTTTATTTTGCAAAGAACTTTAGGAATATTGAATCTTCGGCCTATTCTTTAATCCCCTTGATGATGTTCCTATCATTACCATCATCATCAATATATTTACCTGTAATAAGAGGGATAAACACAGGTGCCAGAAGCTAATGATAAAGAACAAACAGGGTATGTCATTATAGATATCTTTGATGTTATTTACGGTATACCTAAATTTAATAAGATTGGGCATATCTTTGATGTCTATATAAATAACTAATGGTATTAAAGTTTAGTGAAAGAAATCGTGCCTGTAGCAAAAAATAACATGTTTATCAGTTTGAATATTTTAATGTGACTCCATACGAAATTCTTTAAACACTTTGGAACAAACGTGAAACGTAATAAGAATGTTGGGGGGGGGGGGCGTAATTTTGCTACGTATAGGCTTGGGGCGAGGTAGGACTATCATTACATATGGTACATTGTGATCTTTGACTTTGTTCATTAGCTTAGTTGCTCGGCATTACATAGGTGAAAAATTTTCATTTTTCTAATATCAATAATAACCCAATAATCATTGAGGGCCATTTCATATTTCATCATTAAATACTGTACAGAATACAAAAAGTCATAAATACACAAAACTTCAACTGTTTGGTTTTCTACAGCGAACATTAATATATATGTTATAGAAAATTTATGAAGAATTCTGAGATTGCACGCCTTTATTTTCTACTCGAACACTAATAAATTACCATATGTTTTTCTGTCCATAATCTTTTACACATCGCATCTAAAATATACCAATACGTGTGGCCAATGCAGATATGAGTTTTATAAAGGGCGATTACTTCTTTTAATGTAATAACTTGTTGGATTTTTTAAACAAATAACAAAAACGAAGCCATCAAATAATGTTACTTTCATAGGGTTTTCATAAAGGCCATATTGTTGTATATTCAGTAGTAATTTATAATGCATGCGTTTTGAAAATCCACAATTAGACATCAAATTATATCAATAGTCTAACTATTCAACTATATAACTTTTGGAAATGTCTGTATTGACGACTATGCTATCTAGTAAACTTGTAACTGAAATAAAATAAATTTTAACTTTAAGAATAATACAGGACTAATGTGATATTATTTGTGTATTTTAGGTAACTGGAGAAGCTGATGAGACTCAGTTAAAAGAGACATTAAAACGTTATGTGTCACGTTGCATGTATATACAGAGAGCTTTGTATAGGTTATTTAGTTTCTCACAACATATGACAGAACCTAGAGAAGATATTATCAGGGTATGTATATTGTAGATAGGGCTGGCAATCGATACCGATTTTAAATATCGATATCAGCAACCATTTCGGCAATATTGATATATCGCCATCGGAAAATTTTAAGTTGAAAGAAATAACTGTTTGTATGCTAATAATGCATTTAAATATGTTATTGATCAAATAAAAAAAAACTATGATCCTCAAACTATGTTTTCTTAATGTTTGCTTCATTGACAACTTATCTGATGGTGTTATTAATAAAATAGTATTCGCAGCTTCGTGCTCGCCATCAATCACTGTTGACAATTTTCCTCGGCCGCTTATAACAATAAATAAATTTCTATTAAAATCGATTTATTTCCCATGAACAATTAATTAATTATTCATTGTCATTGTTGTAAATGACCGCAAAATTTACTGGTGCGGTTGTTGTACCTTCCCTAGTGTGCATGTTTTTATGTTTTGTGTGTTTTGAATGATATGACGGTGATTATTTGAAACAAATCATTCCGTTAATTGTATTTTATTGAAGCTCCTTTATTTTTTATACAAGTATTGATATCAAGAACTGAATATCGATATCAATATTTTCCCGTAGTCGCCGACGATTATCGGCTATATAATCGATATTTTTCGCCAGCTCTAATTGTAGATAGATTAATATTAGGGATTCAACCAGATAAATATAAAAGGGTTGCATGACCAATTATTATTTCAAAAAATAAAAAATAACAACATCCTCATTGATTACCACATGTTCTTTATTCCATCGGTAAAAGGGAGTGACTCTTTTAATGAATTCCTCTCAAAATGACAATCTATCTCTCTTAATTTTATTATACAATGTATGTATTATATGTATCAGTTGACTCACATATTTTAATACTGAATTAGTTATAAACTGAAATATTTTGTTGGTCTATTGTATTTTTTAGTTGGTTATTCCTGCAATGAAGGCTCATCCTAAACAGTTAGGTGTACAGATGGCAGCCACAGCTTGTTTGTATAATTTATCTAAGAGTGAACTCGGTCCTAAGATTCACCCTATGTGTTTAAGAGATATTGTTGAATTAACTTTAAAAGCTTTGGAACAATTCCCTAGTCACCAACAGGTTAGTTCTTATACATGTTCAGTGTATATAAATTGTATCCCTTTTGAAGCCAGATTTCTCTTTGTAGGATTTCAGAAGGTCTCTTAAAGTGCAACTATACAAGGCAAGCTTAAACATAAGTCAACTGTCACATACTTTGAAATGGTCATAAATTATCACACAACCTATATATTATAAATGATAATTTGGGTCCGACAATGTCAATACATGCCAACATCATGCCACTCCTTTTGGTGTTACAAGAATAAAATATTGTTTTTTTAGCTACAGAAGAATGCTTTGTTAACTTTATGCAGTGATAGAATGTTACAAGATGTGGTGAGTTGTTTTCTGTGATTATTATTGGTCTAAATTGATATCTATTTATCATGACCTATTCAAGGTTTATCTAAACATTTCACTGATTAGGGTCATTCATGTGACCTCTGGTTGGAAGTTCCTCTAAATGTGATCAAATATACTAAAAACAAAATCAGTTATATCTTCGATACATATTGCAGAAATTGATTTTTAATCTTGTTGTTTATGTTTTTTTTTGCGTTTTTTTTTAGTCGTTCGATCGTTACAAGTGTGCAAAACTAGTCATGGGTTGTTTATGTGCTTTTGATGATCCTAGTATGAACCGAATGTCTGTAGCTATCTGTTCTATTTTAGCTGCTAAAGTGAGTCCATTATGATTTCTTTGTGAAGTGAATACATGTATCATGATAAGAAAAATGAATATGTGGTTATAACTTAACGGAGGTCGACAAACTTGTCGAGAAGTTGCATTCTATGTATTGGACATTGTTAAGGCTATAGTGATAGTGTGATGGACTCTTGTGACCAGAGAGTTTGGAGAAGAACTTTCTGACCCAATTCATCATTGCAGTGCTAGGATAGATCAGAAAAATCAGAGAAGAAGTCAGATTTTTTTTTTATTGTTATTTAGTAGGCAATATTAAATAATGTCTTATCAGCTAGTTATTCAGGGGGGAGTCACGTGGCTAAGTGGGTAAGACGCTGGCTCGCTAGCCTGGAGGTCGGGTGTTCTATCTCTGCATTGGCCGAGAAAGTTCATCCAGATTTTCCGGCGTGGTTCCCCCTTGTGAGTGATACAGGACGGAGGGCCTGGCAAGGACAACTGTCTAGTCCTTCGGATGACACGAAAAACCGAGGTCCTGTGTATACATTAGAATGCATGTAAAAGATCCCTTGGCATTTGGAATTCGATATAAGAGTGGGCGATAGTGCCGCTGCCCGGGCAAAATTCCCCTGATAGCACACTGTATGGCGTATGCCCGTCTTCATTAGCCCAGCATAGGAGCAGAACAGTAGGACGTTAAACCCCATTTCATTTCAGTTATTCAGGGTTCGTTTTTGGGTAGCTGTCTGTTTGTTTAGTATACTTATTGACAGAAGAACTGATCAGTAAGTGATATGTTAACTCGTTGATTAAATTTCCACCTTTATTTATTAATTACAGATATCTACAGAAGAAACTTCAGTACTCGGAGCAAAATCTAGATATATGAAGAAATTACTTGGTCTGGTTAAACAAAAAGTCGATAATCAGTTAATTGATATTACTCTCAAATTCACTCAGTGCTCTATGGAACCTCACAGGTAAATACTCTCAAATTCACACTCAGTGCTCTATGGAACCTCACAGGTAAATACACTCAGATTTACACTCGGTGCTCTGTGGAACCTAACAGGTAAATACTATCAGATTTACACTCACAGTGGATAATCAGTTAATTGATATTACTCTCAAATTCACACTCAGTGCTCTATGGAACCTCACAGGTAAATACTCTCAAATTCACACTCAGTGCTCTATGGAACCTCACAGGTAAATACACTCAGATTTACACTCGGTGCTCTGTGGAACCTAACAGGTAAACACTATCAGATTTACACTCACAGTGTTCTATGGAACCTCACAGGTAAATACTCTAAAATTCACACTCAGTGCTCTATGAATCCTCACAGGTAAATACTCTCAGATTTACACTCGGTGCTCTATTGAACCTCACAGGTAAATACTCTTGGATTTATACTCGGTGCTCTATTGAACCTCACAGGTAAATACTCTTGGATTTATACTCGGTGCTCTATTGAACCTCACAGGTAAATACTCTTGGATACTCTATGAAACCTTTAGCAGAACAGTAGGACATTAAACCCCATTTCGAATATCCACTTGGTGCTCTACCTAATCTCACAGGAAAATAGTTTCAATGTCCACTCAGTGCTCTGTTAGATCTCACTAAAACTCAAATCTATACTAAGTAGCCTACTCAATGGAGCATAACAGGTAAATAGGACCTATTCTCAAATTTAAACTCAATACATTGTGGATTGTTCCATACTCATTATTTATTATCATGATAGTATGCATGTGTAGAAAGAATTATTTTTTTTGATGCTCTGTGTCATTGACTTGTATTGATCTTCTTTCTTTTTATTTTCAGATGAGTCTCCTCCAACATGTAGAGTTTTTCTTTCAGAAAAGGGCTTGGAACTGTTTATGACAACATTACAGGTATAGATGTACTATTATCTTCAATTTTAATTTTATTTTCCTTACTATATTGATGGTCAGTGTGATAATTGCATTTTTGCATATAGATTATTCAGCTGAAGTAAAACAATGTACTATTATTATAATGGTTACTTGTAACATTTTTAACAGGTTGTTGGAAATCTAGAGACAGAGAATCGAGTTCAGGTTGAAACTAAGATATTAGGATTATTGGTGAGTAACTAAACACTTTTATAGGGATATTTGCTGATCTGTTCAGCATCAGTTGTCCTTTAAAACAATGAGGCTTTAATGAAAAGATGAGCTGGGTCCTATTAAAAGGGATATACACAAGTTTTTGTAGTTGAACAGATATTGATTCCAAGTAGTACCCAGGCAAATAGTGATTTTTGGGTGTCATATATTGGATTATACCCATACTTTTTCTCGACTCTTTGATGAAAATGGGAGGGTATCAGTTGAAAAGTATCAGTTGAAAAGTGGCCGTGTATCAGTTGAAGAGGGACAAAAATAACAAAATCATGATTTACATATTTATTTGAACATCTACAACCCGTTTTGAACATGTTATGGTAAAAAAGTCATCATTTTCAATAGTCTCAGCACTTTTCAAATGTGCGTCACTCTCAGTCAGATTCTTACATTTTGTATCACTTTTCTTTACATTTTGATATCTAGTCGCACTTTCACATTTTGTCGCACTTTCACATTTTGTCGCGGCTTATGCTCATCCGCAGCACATAATCCAAATACTTTACTATTATAAATTAATCTCTTGGCATTTTGAACACTATTACTAGTATAAATTAATCCATTGGCATTCGCTACACTACAAACTTGAGAACTCTACAATTCCAACTCGTCTTCATTTAATGGCTGTTCTTGTTTTTGTCTGTCAGTGGTGGATGTCAATACCTCGCGAAGTTAATGAATTGATCTGTGCGGAAATTAGCAAATGTACCTTGCTTATCAAAAAAGTTAAAATCCAATCTTTTGTACTGATCTCGAAGTGTCACCATATTCCTATGCAATTGGTATTTTTCCTCGTGTTTGGCAGAATTCGACTCATCTGCATGGCTTTAATTTCTTGTTCTGTGAAGGATCGGGCTTCTAAATCTTCGCGATCATTGAAATCTCTTGCAAAACTGATATTCTCGGTCTTAGAAATATATATCTGTGACATTATAAAGTAGGATTCTTCGACGAATTCCCGCTGTGCAGGCAAAATTTCCCTCATAGCACATTGTATGGTGTATGCCCATCTTCATTAGCTCAGTTATTCAGCTAGGAATTCTGAGACTGCCAACTCTTTTAGTTCTCATACAATAATTGAGATAAAAAATTATACAAAGTTTTCAATTAATAATTTCTATCCATTTGTAATTGTACTGTTTCAGTTTATGGCAAATGGTCTAGCAATATCACAATGGGTTGGGGGTGGAGGATGGTCTCGTGGTTTAATGAGTGCACGTGAAATCACAAGGCCTGTTATTGAGTGAAGTGGTGTGGTTTCGATTCCTGCTCGAACATGACAAGGAGTAGGGCCGCCTATATAACCTCAGGGTTTCTCCGGGCCCTCAGTCTTGCTCCCACAGATAAACACCTCTCTACGCGCCAGTGAATTACTGAAATAAAATTGAATCATATGTTAGTCCCAAAATAACTCAGTTTGTGTCAAATGGATGTTGAAACTCTCTCTCTCTCTCTCTCTCTCTCTCACACACACACACTGGCTCAAGTTCAAACTCATCTATTAAAACACTCCTTTGTTACAAAATGACTGTTTTCCCTAGTCTGTGGTGCAGAAATGTAGGATGTTAAATCCCATTTCATTTATTCATTCAAAAATGACCCATAAGTAAAGTTACCAATAATATTATCTTATGTTTGTAAGGGTTTATTTATTTCAGTCAGTTATTAGATGCTGAACATATTGATGTAAGTTATTTTGCTGCTGGTATAGTAGCTCATCTTGCCAGTGATGGAGAAGAAACATGGGTGATATCTGGTACATTACGAATAGAGGTCTTGGAAAAACTTGTAAGTTCCTTTTCATACGCCCAATTTTTAATGTGGTCACATTTTATGCTTTCAGTGTATTGTTCACATTTGTTGTTAACATAATAGAGGTTACAATAATCCATATTGAAATCGATATTGCTTGTCTGTCTCATTAACTTTCAGCAATTACAATAATAATGTCCAGATTAGATTACATTATTATATAAAGATTTCAAATTATGATATTTCTGAAATTGACATTGGCTGCCTATCTTATAGAAAGGAAGAACATTATTTGATTTTATTCCCCCTTCTTACAAAATCTTGTTTGCCCTTTAAAGGTTTCAATTATGATTTTTCTATAAAACAAATTATGATTCGTTTAACTCACAATGGTTTGGTTGACTTTGCTGTACAAAATTATTTTTAGCAGAAATATTTTCTTCATTCCATTCCCAACGAAACGTAGTGTCTTCAGTCAGTCGATTATGGTCTAAACCTACTTCCTTTGGTTTTTCACATGGGCTACCAAGAACCTTGAATTTGAAATCTTATCTTTCCTATTCATATTGTCACTAGATGTCCTCGCTTTTGCTTCCTTGTAAACATGTAATGTTTGCATGAGGGCGGTGCAGGGTAAAACTTGAAATAAGTTCTGTGCTGACAAATCCTTGACTGTGGTTAGATGTTGTTTATATTTTCAAATTTTGATTTTAATATTTAGATATTATTTATATTGACAGGGTCAAGTAGTTTTAAACTGGGAACAACCACAGGGTGAAATGGTAGCATATAGGTAAGATATTTTCTTTGATTGGCATTTAGTAATTGAACATATTAACACAAAGTACAATTTTATGGGTACACAATTACTGATTTTAATACAAAGCGATGTTTAAACGAGGATACTCTTCACCAGCTGCTTCCATATTTACTGCTGAACTTCTACAGGCTTTGGAGTATATCCAGTCCTCATCTATTTCAAAGGAGAATATTGGTGTCAGTCATTATCACATATGTGATAGAACTAATTAAACACGTTCCAAATATAATTTTAACACAGAGATCATTGCTATGATAGCTGAGTAATACAGGTTTCCTGAATCGGAAGTGACTAACGCCAAAGGAAAACACGAGGCATCCCTCTTGAAAACTGACTGAAGTGACGAGTGATAACAGATACATGGGCGAATTTCTGCTCACTAATAATTCCTTCCAAGACCAAAAGTTGTTGTGTGAGACTGTGAGAGGATATCTGACAATTCATAAAAAGAATTGACTGCCACTAGATAAGAGAACACCAAAGAAAAACAGAAAAAAGTCTGTGCATTACCATGTTTTTATAAGGTATAGAATGAATATAAACAAGGGAATGTACGGACTATTTCTATTTTCTCGTGTTCTCTGTTTGCCATTTATTACCGTAAAACCCTCAGTGTCGCATCAAGGGAAGCGGGGAAAGCCCTCGCAACAGACAACACATGGTCATAGTGGAATTCCTAATGCATCATGCTTGGCTGGAAAACAAGCCAGTCGGGATAAAGACTTTATTATCTTGGCCGGAAAACTGGCCAGTCGGGTTCAAAAAGTTAATGCTTATGATTCCTATTTCTAATCTTAATCTGCTAGTGTATATATGGTGTATTTTGTATATATTTTCAGATCATTTAGTCCATTCTTTCCCTTGTTAATTTGTTATGATCTACCATCAGTTCAACTGTGGGCAGTTTGGGCCATAAATCATGTTTGTACTAAAAATGGTAAGTGGTATTTATATTATATTAAGCACTACTTATATTTTGGTTTACTAATACTATCCTCCAGTTCTGTTATAAATAATTGGCTAAAATTGTATAGTAAAAACTCAAAAAACTGACTACAGATTAGAATAATATCATGGTGAACAATTTCCCACAACCAGTTTTATTGTACAGGATGGAAAGATACAATATAAAAAGTAAACATTATATTCAATAAAAATCAATGTTATAAACACAGCTTTGTTTGAGATAATGCTGGCACAATATATATCGTTCTCACAATTCGTGTATTGAATCTGAGTTGCTGAATCGATTTTTCACATTTCCTTTTTATGTTTTTATAGATTCAGTAATTACTCTTAATTATCCATAGGTACACAAACCCTTTTGAATTGTTTTGGTCCTCATTTTGATCCACATCACTATCATGATATAAAACAGTTTTGTTTCTTCTGTTAGTTGACATCAGGGTCATCATATATACAAAGGTCAAGGGTCATTTAAAGGTTAGGTCACCAGAGAGAAGGTCAAAAGTCGAACAAAATTTCAAATGAAACCAGGATTGAACAAATCGAAATTCAAAAATCGCCTCCCTAAGAATAAAAACCATTACGAAAAGTATATGTGTTTCAGACCTTCGGTCAAAACACGTAATTACAAATCTCTGTCATTCTGTTTGAAAAAAGAAAATTAATCACACCATTGAACATGCGTTGCCAAGACTAGCACAAGCTTGGGCTAGAACTGATTGTTCAGATTGTACATTAAAGTTTCATTTAATCTGACTTTGGTAAGTAACACATGAATCGATGACAAAGTCTCAATTTTCATTAGTCCAGTTGGTACTGTATTTCATGACAGTTTCTTGCTTTGGTTCCATCATGTAGGAAATGAGGCAAAAACTGTCAGTTATTTCCGTTACAGATCCGAATTATAATGTAGTTAGGGCCCTATAATGTATTTGTTAAAGGCTCAATACCACACTTGTTGTAACTGAATAATATGTCCCAATCTTTATTCTGGTCAACAAATTGTACTATTTTAGAATATTTCAATTAATGGATGATACAAATTTCATCTTAACACACCTTATTTAAAAAATTTGAAAAATTCAACATAATGGGGGGGGGGGGGGGGTGGATGGCTGAATGGTTAGCGTGCGCGCGCTGTATCATAAAGTCTGTCATTGAGTCGACTGGCGTGGTTTCGAATCCCTGGTTGTACGTGACAAGGAGTAGGGTCGCCCGTCCAACCTCGTGGGTTTTCTCCGGGTCCTCCAGTTTCCTCCCACTGCTAAAGACCCCTATGCGCAAGCGAATTATTGAAATAAAATTAAACCATATGTTAGTCCCGAAATGACCTAGTTGTGTCGAGTGGACGTTAAACCCCATTCTCTCTCTCTCTCAACATAATGGTTTGAAACGTCTAACGTAAACCTTTTCAAATGAAACTTCGGTTTAAAAATATTTTCGAACCCTCTGGACAAGTAAAATAGGATGTAATGGATAATTTACACAACAGGTAGGACACTTAAACATCTAGTACTTAGATAGAGATATTATTTATTTTCTGGAGCTTTCAAGCCAGCAAGAGTGTTATTGTCCCTTTAAATGTACTTTAAAGAATATTTCTCTTTATTCGCAGAGAAACGATATTGTCCATTATTACAAGAAGAGGGAGGTGTGGAGAAACTACAAGCTCTACTAAAGAACGACACAACGCCAGAAGTACAAAAAATATCAAGGAATATTCTCGAACTTTTACACAAACATGCCAAAAGCCAGTGATATATTGTTTAAAAAAGAATATTATACACCAGTCTGATTTGTTCAGGGCCGATGTTTTCTTTATATGTCAATCTTGTTTTAAAATTGGCCAACTGTGTATGAACAACAGACATACGGCCATATAAAAAATAATATTCTCGTTCTCTGATACTACTACACCACTTAATACTGTCTTTACAACCGTTTTTTTTTAAAATGTAAAAAATATAAACATCTTTGGCTTTGATTACAACTTCCCACTGTTAAGGGAAGTAACTCTGTTAGACATGTCCAGTAGGCTGAATTATCAAGTACACAAACTTGCTAAATGTTTGGTAAATGTTATTGACAATCTTCTTTCATGGATGATAATTCTCCTGCTTACTACATCTAGTAATGAGAAGGGAATTACTCGTATTATACACCATTTTGATGGAAGGAGCAGTATTCACATTAGAAATACAAAATTTGTTCTTTCCTTCTGTAGAGAGAAATATTTACGGGTTTTAAATAGAAACCTATATTTGAAGGATTGTCTGAGAACCAGAATTTTTTTGTATGGCCTAAATTCACTTTGTTAACAGAAGCTTATGTTTAGACACTGGTTAAAAATGTCTACATTAATCTAAATGTTTACCATTTCCTGAAATAAGTTACATTCATAAAGCCATAACTCCGCTGTATTAAACCCCATTTCTGTTGTATTCACCTCCCTCCATTGGATATTTTAGTCTCCTTACTATGTTAAATTCCCAAAAATGAACAAATTTGAAGGTCAAATTCATATCTTCCTGCTTGTCACTATAAGAATGCACCAAGAGTTTTTCAGTAAAGACATTTCTAGAAAGTTAGGAACGACTCTTCTTTAGGAACTAACCATGTTTTTGGAAGAATTTCAAAAATCTAATTCACCAAGTCAATGCAGAATATTTTCCTAAGAACAAATATGCCAATTTTCATGCCGATCGGACTTGAATTGATGGAGTCTTAGGCTTTTTCGAAGAGTGTTACCCCCTCAAGTCTGGCCCCCCCCCAAAATACTCTTTTACTTGTTCAGATATGAAAAATACTGACTGGATTTCAAAGCTGCTTTGCAGTTTGAAATGGAAGTATTTGAATATGTGCAAATACTGGCAAATTTTAGTATCTACTGCTGTTTAATTTATTTGACATAAGAATATAAACTAGAAATCCTAAGGAGTACTGACGTGTTTCGGTATATCAAGTCACGTCACACCATGTCACTTCAACATTCAAGTCACACCATCAATTATTGAGTATAGTAACATCCAATACCTATTAAAGTGAAAAAAAACTGTCATTTTGAACTCTTAATAAAACCAGAAGTTATACCAAACTTTTTTATATTAATTGTTAGTAGACATTAGGATCATCATACATACAAAGGTCATAGAAAGGTTAGGTCACCATCTAGATGGTGAAAAGTCGAACAAACTTCAAAGTGAAATCGGAAGTAAACAAAATCGAAATTCAAAAATCGGCTCCCTAAAGATTGTTGCGATTTGGAATAGGTTCAGTACAAAAAAAAAGTTTTCAAAAATCGGAATTAAAATGGCAGCTGAATATCGATTTGAATGTTTTTTGTAAAATCCACTATGGCGGCCAATCAGTTGAAAATGTTATCTAACAAGGTCTTTGAACATGAAGGATATTATCTGGGGCTAACACCACCATTTATATCATTTTTTGTCTATTTTTAAAATGGAGAGAACTATTCATGTTCAGGAAAAATCGGAAGGCATGGTAATTTCCAGAAGTTTCCAGAAGCCGTCACAAAATTTTTTAATATGCTATTTTGAAGGCAGATGTGTTCCTTATTCCTTATTTCAACTTGATACCTCAAATAGTGATGGAGATACGCCATCTTGAATGTCGAAAAAATGCTGAAGAAAACTTTCGCAAATCTTTGATGCTAATATTAATCAAGCAAACTTCAGAATATCAAAAAAACGTCCATCAGAGCCCATATGGGATTCATCCAAAGAAGATCCGTTAGGAAATAACTTAGATATGGGCAATCTGAGATTATTATTTGTTTCATCCGTAAAACACTTCCTGTTCATCAAAAATGACCCAATTTATATTAAATAAATAGACCCACGGAGGCCAACCACATCTACGTTGGCGGAATGTTTGCATCATGTACAGTTTTGGCTGCACAAAAACAGTCGAGACAGTCGAAACGCATTAATTTATGTTTTTTGTTAATTTGACAGTTAGTGTTATTGTCTTGAAACTTGCTATACTTTCTTTTTCCTGCCATATCAAGCTTTGTTTAAAGTGGCTGTTTTTCTTAATTCACCCTATGATTGCTTCATTATAAGCTCATTTGACTCCTATCTTGTGCTGGAGGCACAGTAACTTAATTAGTAAGATGCTGGATTTCTGTTTTCAGTGTTGACAGAGAAAGTTACTTAGGATTTACCATGTCAGTGGTGCAGGATGGCGAGTCTGGCTAGGAAAAACTTCTAATCATTTGGATGTTGATGTGAATGTAAAATAATTGTTGCCGTCCGAGCAAAATGACCATTCAAAGCACACTGCATGGTATCTACCCCTCTTTATTAGCCACTTTAGTTCATAAAAACCCATTTGTCACCTGTTTATATGGTATCAGTAAGTTTAAAAGTAATGAATGGGCACATTTTATATTTAATGAGTATAGTATGATATAGATTACTTGTAATATCATAACTTTGCAGTAGCTCAGATAAACAGTGCAATAATAACTCAATTGCTAAAATATTGCACAGTTAGGATCCAATGTTAAATATAAGCTATTTAGTGGCAGATATTATGATAAGTTATAGTAGAAAGGTTATTTGGAAATAAGAAATCAAAGGATTGTTACTATATAGATAGGTATATTTAATTTGTTATTTTTGATGTAGTTTGTTATTAATAATCTGTTTTGTTATTATTTAAGGTTTTTGTATTCTAAGAAAAATTTATATTTATCTTAAATTTATATGTCAAAGTGCTCTGTTTAATAGTTTAATAATATGAAATATGTTATATAGATATGATAAGTAAATACTGGTACAGCAACAAGAATTTTTATGTACTGGTGACAGTTCCACACAACCATGTTTTTTGTACAGTACATGGTTATTTCATCGGTTAGTGCAGTGTTGACATAAATATGGGTATGGTAGCTCCAATGCAGCTCTTTTACTTACCTGAACTATCACCTTCTCGATTTAAAAAGCATACTATTACAACACAAAAAAGCGAAATCAAAGATTTGATTATTGAGATACATTCATTTCCAAGGATTGAGGAAATCCAAATTCTTTCTTGAAATCTTGAGTTTAGGATGTTACAAATCATTGTTTTCTTGTTAAATTGTCAAATTAATTTAATGTTAAAAACAAATTGGAACTATGACAAATGGCAACTGTTTATTACAATATATCTTATTGAGGTTTTTTCTCTAAAAATAATTATTAACCTATGATTCAATAGATGTGTTTCTGACAATTAGTTAAATGTTTTTTTGGTTTTTTTTACTGGATTGTTATCAAAGTTTCCACTCATCTATAAGAATTATTAGGGTGGGGTAGTGCTAGTAGTGAACACTGTGGTACATGTATGTATACAGTAGCGGTGGTGCTAGGATTTTCACAAATTCTCACCTAAATGCACAATTTGGGGTGTGCGCTTGATAAGAAAGAAACATAAACAACAAAAATAATTGCATCTTGGGGTCGAACTAAAAGGGGGTAAATCAGTTCATGGAATCTTGATATGACTAGCTTGGAATGAATAGTACGTACCTCACTAAATTGCAAATGGTGTTTGTCAGTTAGATGGGGTTGGATGTGTGTGTGAGAGGGGAGGTGTTGGGGGGGGGGGCATTTGTTAGACATTACCTTGATGGTCATTAATATATCATATTTTATTTAACTTTTACAACTAACAATTTCATATTACAATCTGCTCACAATTGTGTGTCACTCTTTTCATTCTATCCTTTTCGTACACCAGTTTCTGTTAGAAGGAAAATGAATCATACTAATTTAGAACTCTAGATATAATAATTGAGATACAAGCCATAGAAAATAGATATATATTAATTTTCTTGATAAGGTATTAATACCTCCTAATTATCCCTGCCGAACATTATGGTATTTTATTTTCTGATTTATTAGCTTAATGTTTAACACACAGCAGCTGATTGAGGTAGGCACATGTTGTTGCACAAGCTTTACAGGGATTAGCGACCGTACATTGCCGAGGTACTGTAATAAGAGTATGCTTCTTTTGACTAGTCCCATTGATACTCCAAGAAGTTGTTTTTCCTTATGCCTTCCAAACAAGTTCAAGGGCGTGGGATGGAAATGACTTGTCATCTTGTTGAAATTTAAACAATCCTAACAAACATATCAGTATTTCACGTCTAAGAATATGATTGACTTATTCATAAAACCACAACATGATAGAATCAACTTCCTCGATCAAACTTAACTTACAGCCATTTCTGTTGATTTCATATACATAAAGTAATAATAATTGTGCCATCTTTTTCGTACGAGACGGCTCGTGAAGGTTTTATTATACTAGGATGTTCTTACTGTAATAACAGTTTTTACATTAAAATATACTGAGATGCAATGAAAACGCACCACTTTTATGAATGGATGATTGTAATTCTTGTTTGTGAGATATACATTAATCTTGCAATTCTTAATGTAATATCTGATTTCGAGGATAACATGTAAGAATGTTTTTATGATGGTGTTAACACACCACACACCAGTCCTCATAGGGTCTGGCGATGAGTCTAATGCTGTGGTTTGTACTGGCAAGGAATAGGGTTACCTGCCAAACTTCGTGGATTTCCATCCACAGCTTAATACCTGTGAGAATATGAATTATTGAAGTAAAATTGTGCCATAATGTTTCGAAATTACCTAGTTTGTGTTGTTGAGTGGACGTTTAACCATATTTCTCTCTCTCCTCGGCACTTTCAGTTTAATCGGCGGTGCGTTTACTTTGGGTCTCAGACTAGTATATTTGAGATAATATGTGCACGATCTGGCATAGAAGGCCTTTTATTTTGAATTTAGAACTATATAATTGGTTATTGATTCAAGACAAATTACTAACTTTTTATTATCTTGGACTGTTTAATACAGTATCATTTATAGACTATAATTAACAGGTTGTTCCCTACACGAATAGATATTATATTAAATGATATTAATAAAAAATTAGATAGACTGAATGAATAAAAGTATTATGGAACTTGCCTAGATTATTTATTGTATATTTAGATAAGTTTAAATAGGCATTTATTATACATGTATTCTATAATGGATTGTAATGTTATGTGTTAAACGGTTTATAAAATATATATTGTTATGTATACCTGTTACACATTGTTGTTTTCGTCCGTTCAGAAAAAAATAGATTTGTTTTATTACATTGAATATAATAAGTGTTGGGTTTTATTTTTTGTTACATTAAACAAGGGTCTATTTCTTGGTGGGTATTTCAATTTGTATCTTGTATGCTAAATTTCTAAATGAACTAAATAATCCAGTTGGGTATAATATGGCAAAAGAAAATCGAACTACCGATTAACAATTCAATGAAAAGTCAATCAGTTGCAGATTCTTTAGATTTTATTAATCATCTAGTATTGAAGTGGAGCTGATCGGTAACCTGGAGGTCCCAGTGTTGGCCCAGAAAGTTCCTTTGAATTTTCCGGGGTGGTTTTCACTTGTCAGTGGTACAAGGAGGGGGCCCGGACAAGGAACAACGTCAGGTATTCGGTGGGACGAAAAAAAACCCGAAGATTTGTGTACACTTTGGTTTGCAGGTAAAAGAGTAGGCCGTAGCATCACTGTTCGGGCAAATTTTCCCTTGTAGCACACCGCATTAGCCCGGGTGGAACAAAAAAGGAGGTTGAACCCAGTTTTGTTAGGTTTTAGCCCCGTCTTCATGTCGTTAAGACGTCAAACCCATTCCATTTTAAAATGTCGGGAAAAGCCAACGTTTTACGCTTCAATTTTATAGAGATGATTTGTATCCGTGTCCGGTAGGATTATATGCTTAATTGTAGTTGGATGTGGCAAAGAAGTTATAAATAACAATAATTAATCGTTGTTTTGATGAAAAAATTAACAGTTTTGCTGTTTGAATCCCAATGTGATCGCATTGGGGTTTTGCCAGGTAAAACTATAAGAGTACCATCTCTTATGTCGAAACACGGAGGGTTGAGAGATGAGGTTTCTTATCTACATTAGACCGGGTATGTTTAATTAGCTCTATCAGTATCAAATTAACAGATTTTTAAGATTTTACATGCATTATTAATGAAATTAAGTTTGCCACGCGAAACCAAAGGCACCCAATCGTTTTAGCTCGTAGCTAAGGGTTCTATTTTCGGAACCTTGAAATAGATGAAAATGGTTCTAAAAGCACATATTAATATTAAAAGAATGTTTTTAAAGTGATTTATATTCAATTTTTGAAAAAAATATTGTAATTTCTGATCAATTATATTCGTTCAAGTTGAACGGCATCGTTTACGCCGGCTAAGTCCGTTCTACACGTTTTTAGCTCCTTTAACCATGCTGAACCGAAAGTGCAAAACTTTTTATCTTAATTAACATATTAAAATGGCGTCATATAATTATAAACAGACAAATTATAAGCAAGTTCTAAAATTGTCTTCACACAGCTGCTGCTTTTTTCCGCGTATTCTGCATTGCTGAATAATTGAAGTGTGGCTATAACAGCACCGACACATACCGGTGTTTATAAAATGACAGTTACCCCACCGTCGTTAATTTGTTAATTAATGGTTTTGAGTCGTACGTGGCTCAAACTATTTTAACACTAGATACTAAATAATTTTTAAATACTTTTAAGGCCCAAACCCTACATTTACAGAGTAGAGCGGAAATACTTTAATAATAAAGGACCCCGAAAATTATGTTCTTTCGGGTAATGTTTTGCCTTTCCGGAATTACAGACTGAAATGGTGAGTGCAGATAGGCAAGAATTTGGAGATGGTTTTATGCGGTTTGATAATTATTTTAAGATTTTGTGCGTCATAAGCAATTAGCTCTATAAACCACAAATTATATCTTGTATCATTACGCGTGCTCAGAAATAACACATATCGGGTATTTATGCTAACTTGCCAGAAAACAGAATTGTGCGTGTTGCGCATTAAATTTGTGTGGATTAAAATTAAACACAATGTGCACATTTTCCTTAAATTTCCCAACAATAGGTGGAGCTGGTCAGAAACAAGAGCGGTACCTTAGTGTAACTGAGCGTCAGTGGAGGTCCGCCTAATATACTATTCCAAAAAAGTAGGGGATATTTGATGTTGGGGGCATAATACTAAAATATGCAAATGACTACGAAAAAAGTCACTATAGAACCTAACAGAAGAAACATTTCCAGTTACATGTGACGCCCAAACGCACCAATAGCTACCGCATGGAATGCAGGTGATGCTTGGGATCATCATGGGGGTCCAACCCAAGATTTGCACGACTCTGACTTTGAATGTTACAGTCATTGTGGCATTGAATTCCAGGGTGGAAACATCAGTTTAATTGTTTTAGTGACCAGAAAACAAATTTTGATATGCGTCGGCTTACCCAAAATGAAAGGTTACGTGCCCTTGGCATGCTACAGATCGGCACAACACAGGCGGTTGTGGCGCGGACGATGAATGTTTCTCAGTCTGTCATAAGCAGGCTATGGTCCAGATACCGTGATACACAATCTGTACAGGACAGACCACGCTCAGGTCGACCAAGGGCGACAACTCAAGCCCAGGATCGATTTATCCGTACCTTGGCCTTGAGAAATCGTGTCATCACAGCAAATCAGATCAGCGCTCGTCTTCAAACAGACACTGGTGTGAGAGTGAGTGGCCAGACGATTCGGAATCGACTGCATAGGGGTCACCTTCGCGCCCGACGTCCTCGCGTGATCCCTTGTTTGAGAGATCATCACATTCAGGCAAGACGTCGTTGGTGTAGGGATCGTCAACACTAAGATAATCGACGCTGGAGCAATGTGATGTTTTCAGATGAGTCAAGGTTCACTGTTGATTTTTTGGACAGACGTAGGAGGGTGTGGCGTCGTCGAAACGAGCGCTTCCAAGACGTTAACGTCATCAGACATGATCGATTTGGGGGTGGTTCTGTTATGGTGTGGGGAGGCATCACTGTTGCTGGAAGAACGGCTTTACATGTTGTTGCAGGGCGTGTTACAGGCCAGTACTACCGGGACAACATCTTGGCAGTCCATGTTGTGCCGTTCGCACGACGTCATGGCCGCCGTTTCATCTTCCAGGATGACAACGCAAGATGTCACAGGGCCAGGATCGTTACAGGTTACCTCCAACAACAGAACATCACCACATTACCTTGGCCAGCACTGAGTCCCGACCTCTCCCCCATCGAGCATGTCTGGGACATGCTTGGACAGAGGTTACGTCAACGTCAACAACGTCCTGCCAATGTCCAAGAACTTGCTGCTGCGTTGCAACAGGAATGGGACAATCTGGACCAAAATGACCTTAGACTTCTCATTAGGAGTATGCCACGTCGGATCAATGCTTGTTTGGCAAACAGAGGAGGATTTACCCGTTACTGACTTGGTTGTGATGCTGTGGTAACTTTGCTGTTTGACCCCGGGTATCATTTTACCCTTATAATGGTCAGTCTGTGCCTTACTTAGTCTAACGATCATTTGGAATAAATCGATGAATGTGAACTTCATTTCATTTTGTCATTTGTTTCTTCGTCAGTTTCATTAGGTGACTTTAATAACACTTAAAAATCAAATATCCCCTACTTTTTTTGAATAGTATAATATGATGATCACTCTTAACCATTTCCCTAATTGTCGTACGCTATTAGCAGGAGTTTGCTGACAGTCAGGCAGACAACTAAAGACGATTAGAGACGAGCGGAGACGGAGAGACCGGCGTATGGACTCACCCGAGTTCAGCCGCTGCCTTGGCAGAGGGGCAGAATGGTGGATTTAATATAGGTGTTCCTGTATATTAGTTTAAGTTCCTGTATTGTTGTATGTATGTAACTGTAGCTGTTTTATATACCTGGTGTAAATAAATCATATATTTACCAAACTGATCTCTGTTATCAGTAAGATAGTGTGACACCTACTTTTCTGCTCCGACTGGGCAATATATCAATTTGAACTATGTTTTAATTCTTTGTAAACTTACGAGTTTTCATAGATTAACTTTCTTACATGTCATCCTTCATTAAACAAAATTTATGCAAAGACGGGATGACATAATGCCGGGTCGGAAATATTCGATTATTGCTGTAAAAGTTGTACAATACAACTGGTATAATCGCTTTTGTCAGATAGGTTATTGATAAATCATCCTGTCGCGAGCTGTGTCCTTGTGGCAGTTTCGATTTAACGGTCTATTGATCCTGTCACTCAAAAGCTGGATTCAAATCCAGAATATCATGATATGTAAGTTCCTTGTCACCTTGCCGGTTACTCAAGGCAAATAGTGACTACGATAATGAGATTTTCCTCGAACAATTGACGGGTTTAAATCCTGGTATTAAATCTGACTAGATCGTTCCCTATCTTGTGGTTAAGGACTATATTTTATTTTTGATTCGTATTACCAGTTCCACGGAATAAAATCACACAATCTCCAAAATGGTTTAAAATCCATTTATATAATTTAGGCACGTACAATTATACAAAAGGTTGGTACAGTCTCACACACATGACAAATCTATAAAAAATAAAATACTTAAAATTTCGTACGTGCACTGCTTAATTAGCCATGTCAGATTAATTTTATTTCAAGTATTATCCTATGCTCACCTCGGCAGATTCCGTTACTCTACATCTATCTACGCCTATACAATTGCGATGCAGCACCGGTTTACTTATTAGGGAAACTTGCCGCTTTTAAAAAGAAGTGTGTAGAATTTTCAGTGCAAAGTTGTCCTTGTTTGAAGAAAATCGGATAAACTTGAAAGAAAAATAGCTGCAGACTTTGAAATATTTGTATGATAAAACATTCTTCAAAGGCGTCGTCATGGGCAACGCCGTTGGTAATCCGGGAACTTGAAAGTAGTTCCAATGGCGGACTTCGTCATACAGCCGAGGCTAGATGTTTGGTACTGGAATCTACTGAGGTTTGCCGAGTCATCCTATGCAAAATGCAAAACTCATATACCGAGACCATTTAAACCTTTCTGTCAATTTGGTAATAAATGACGGGTCAGTACAGAACAAGTCAGTGTAGAAGACAAATTGGTTATAAAACCACCGAAATTAATGGCACAATTTCTGTACACATCACATAAGTTACACGCGTGTATCATTAGACAAATAGAATGTGTCAATTGAGTGATCCCGTAAATGTAGAGTAGTTTATCATTATAATTTGTTTCTTTATATAGCTTTCATGTCTTGCTACAACCACCTGCTGGTCCACGACGTACTGACTTTTTAAACACTCCTCGGTTCTGAGGTGAATAGTTTTTAAAAAATATTAGTATAAGATGCACATAGATAATAAAATTTATCACCCAATAATACATTCTACAGTAGATATCGCTTGTGTGATAAATTTCATAATCTGTTAAAAACAAACTACTTTTTTTATTTTCAAAGAACAGTTCATTTTTGGTGGAAACACTGGTTGATTTGCTGTCAAAAAATGATGCATCACTACGCCGTAATGCAATCATGTTCAGTAAAAGTTAAATCTATAGCAAAGAATTATATTTATTTATTTGTGCATGTAACAAAGGATTGGGGGATAAATAAAATCTCCTACTCGTCTTTTTCTATATCAAAAAAGATTCGTAGGAGATTCTCTATATAAGAATGTACAAAATATATATTACAACAGATTAACAACATATATAATAATAGCAATAATTAGATATCAAACATTGAACAAGTTCACTATTTTATCACATACAGTTAAGATTATTTTTTTAAATATATCATAACCGTGGCGTTCAAACTTGTCTGATTTACGGATGTCTCGGGAACGTTATTTATGCTATTGCTCAAGGATACCAGGGCATTGGATCTAAAAGCTTTCGGTTCCTTGCATGGTATAGTCTTGGTTTAGATCCACAGACACTAAGCTTCCTGTCTTAACTTAATATTGATTTTTAGATAAAATAAAGAATGAATTTAAACATAGTAGAGTGACCCCAACTCTATGGAACATAGGACTTCAGTATTTCTTGGGTCGTGGTGCTAAAATTAAAACTGAATCCTAGATCTTTCACCGAATTATTTTCTAAAGATAGGAAGGTCGTGGGGTAGTAATAACATCTATTAGCGAAAGCGTATGGGTATGACGTCTAAAAGTTAGAAAGATCGATGAGTAGTTGTTCATGACACACCGCTTGACTGGTAAAAGAACGAAGTGCATTTAGTTTTTCTATAAATATGTACCAGTAACTAAAATTATGTCAGCGAAGAAATCCGCGTGACAAATCGCACGTCATCCCTCAATTTATTTTTAAATAAATAACATAAATATTGTCCAATAGTTATGACTCTCTGTACTGGCCATCAACCAACAAGTTGCCAAGTTTATCCAAAGGTTTCGGGCTATGAGATAGAAAGAGAAATGGGGTTTAACGTCCACTCGACACAAACTAGGTCATTTCGGGACTAACATATGGTTTATTTTTTTTATTTCAATAATTCGCTTGCGCGCAGGGGTCTTTAGCAGTGGGAGGAAACCGGAGGACCCGGAGAAAACCCACGAGGTTGGACAGGCGACCCTACACCCTGTCATGTACATCCGGGGAATCGAAACCCCGCCAGTTGACTCAACGCCTCTCTGTATTCTTAAAACAATAATCGGCAATTCGAGAGAGAAAGAAAATAGAAAATAGCAACGTAAAATTGATAATGAAGTTTTTGAAACAAGTAACAAGGAAAAACAACAATTGTTCCTGTTATTTATTTCATTTAAACACACAGTGACAAGTTGAAAAGACACATTGAAACAATTAAAAACAACATTAATTACAAATTCTACGAAACACCTAAATGTATATAGGGCCTTTATAAATGTATATAGGGCCTTTAACCCACATGATAGATATAATACTTTTGGTTTCTCCAAATTATATCTCTAGCCACAAATCTCAAGCCTTGAATGCAGCATTAAAATTCTTACTGTTGGCGTAAAGTGGTTCCCAGAATTTTAAAAGTACCAAAAAAAAAATGTGCTTGTAGTATATAACGGTATGGTTGTCTCAATATGACTTCTAGTATAAAGGTTAGTGGGACGTCTGATTTTATCAGTTTCCCTGTCTTTGAACGTGAACATTTTCGCACTGGCTGGTCATGAATGTACCACGTTTCGGTCGCAAACTTTTCGGTCAGGACAACCATAAAACTAACTGCCTTGGATACACATTTTATAAGTTTTGTATTCTAAACTAACGTCAATGAAATAAATTTACCAGCACCATTTTTTTTAGTATCTTCATGATCGTTTTCATCCAGTCATGTAACAATGGTACTTCCGTTAGCATTACTAACAGACGTTAACGCCTCTTGATGAGTGTATGACGTCATTGGCACTGCTTCTGGTGCCGTAGAATCTGATTCTGCGTGTACACAGCAACAGCACGAGAATTTTATCTCTGTAAACAAGAACCAAATGATTGGTCGCACACCGGGTGTTGCCGATCTCAGCCAGCTCAAATTTTGTAAAAGTTCCAATACGGACGTACATGGTTCTTCAATACACTGTGGCTGTAGCAAGCTGATGGTACCAAATGGTAACTGCATCACAAGGGCACAAAAACTTACAATGCACAAAGCAAGAACAATGCTGTAATGTCGCTTTCTCAGAGCACGCTGGCTAAGGCGATGCTCTTCGAAGGTTACGCTGCTGAATTCGTTGAGATTGGTCGGCATTTGACTAACAACGGTTACTAGCACTAAAACAGTTAACACAATTAAACCCATACAAGGCAAAAACAGGGAGATAACCGACGAAGCCACCATGGCCCTTTCCGTTAAAGCGTAAATGCACATAAAATGTAGCCCAATGGTGTTTACCGGGACTTCACAAAATAACCATATTGGAACTATAATAATAGAACTCAAAACCCAAGGAATTGCCAGATAGATGCAGCGATGTGGTAGTTGATTAAATAATGTGTAATAGAATGATGGCCTCATGGCGAATATCAATCTGTCAAAATTAAGCAACATGATTCCCAGAAACGCTGCAAAAGGTAACATCACATCCAGGATTAACCAGGCTTCGCACATCGTTTGTCCTAGCTTCCACTGTCCAAATTCATAATAAATAGTCAGTGTATCCACCAATGCACTTGTTAAGAGATCTATCACGGCAATGTTAGTAATCTGAATCATGACAAATTGTCTCCGAGTTCTACGAAAACATAGAATGAAGAAGATTAAGAGAAGATTAACAGCAATGTTCCACACACAGATTGAGATTCCAACTTTAGCACTATTGATAAATCCGCGCTCATGAGAACTGTTGGCATACGAACTCAGGTCGAATTCTGCCACACCAGGATCTGACTTTAACGTTTTATTCGAATTCATCATCTGAAATAAAAAGAAGAACGAGTTAGAATTACACAACCCCTCCAATAGTACTGAAAATGAAAAGCGTCGAACAGATAGGTCATCACTTTTATATGGTTCTGATTCGTATTTTAGCCCTTAGATGGCTAATCGTGCAAATTTGGAATGTAAGGAAATGGGATTTAACGTCCTACTGCTCTGATCCGACTGGGATAATGATACGCCATACAGTGTGCTAAGAGGAAATTTTGCCCTACTGCCGAGGGTTCTTTTACGCGCACGCCAATTCTTTTACGTGCACCCCAATTCTTGTAAATGCCAATTTATATATCTATACAAGTGTTTTTAAGAATGGAATGTTAGATTCGTGAATAAGATAGTCAATATGTGCAGATGGTATCAGCGTTCAAACTTGAGGTAGACATTCCAAGTCTCGTTAATATTTGTTTACTTGTTATTGAGTTAAAAAAATCGATAACTGTTCGTAGGTTGTATAATGCAAAATGAATATATTGAAAATTTCATTCAAATTACTTTATTCTGAGCGACGAAGTTATCAATATTTGTAGTTTTGATAAGACGTGTGTATTGATTGTTTATTATCGTAACCATGGTGCTGGTGAGTCAGATTTAGGCTCGCTTTTCCATTCTTAAATTAAATCATTAAAATGGCAGAACCGTTCTAATCTACTTAGAATCGGAACCATCCGATGGCATCGATAGTTGATTATGGTTTTGTCATGTTTATAAATGGCTAATCAATAATCTATATAACATTTAAGGCCCAAAGACAGACATGCAATAGGCCTATGTAGCTCTTGAATAATGCCTTTTTAAGTGAATGTGATAGTCAAAGTCCATTTAATAGAGGGTGGGGGGGCAAATGGTTAGCACGTGCGCGCTAGATCATTAGGTCTGTCATTGAGTCAACTGGCGTGGTTTCGATTCCCCGGTTGTACATGACAAGGAGTAGAGTCGCCTGTCCAATCTCGTGGGTTTTCTCCTGGTCCTCCGGTCCCCCCCCCCACACACACACACTGCTGAAGACCCCCTACGCGCAAGCGAATTATTGAAATAAAATTGAACCATATGTTAGTTCCGAAATGGCCTTGTTTGTGTCGAGTGCACGTTAAACCCCATTTCTCCCTACTTAAAGGAGATAAGTCTGTAACTCACTATATTCCATAATATTCGAAATTAAAAACACGAATTAGAATTCAATATTGATCAATTTCAATCAATATTGATGTTGTTATCTTGCCGTGAAACTATAGGATCCTAATATTCAATATTTAAGACACAATTAACATTTTATAATCAGTACACGAGTCGTGTGTCATTTTGTAATGAACAAATAAAAACATATCCTACAACACAATGTGGAAGTAATTAGTAAAGTCATCTCGAATTTTATCCCTTGCTTTAAGCATTTGGCAAAAAATGGAAAATTGTGACATTTTGGCCGCTATCTTTTGTGTCCTTATCGGGTTTCGGCGACCTCAAAAATCCCATGTTAGACCCAATGAAATCTATGTATAAAGTGATCCGGACATGATATATAGGAATTTTCATTTTTTCCGTTGTGGCTGCCATTTTGAAAAATAGCACTGCACCACCATAAAAATTAAATTTTCGAGAAAAATTCTTTCAGATTCTTTTGTTTTTTTCAGCCAATTTGACATTAGAAAATACCCGCCGTTTACAAACTTATATTATTGTCTCATCCCTAGTTGAAGTACTTAGTAAAGGCTGATTCACAAACGATAAAATAATAATTCTAAACAACGTGTAGAATGCACTAAGCAGGCGTAAATGATTGCCGTTCCATTTGAACTGTTTATGTAATTTCACCGAACATAATTGATTAGAAATTACTTTTATTTCGTCTAATTAGTAAAAATATGTACCTGATCAGGCATAATAATTGTGTAGCAATAATATTTTCAGTAAACTGATAATGAAAACACGTCAGTCAGGAGATAATTGGTAGTTAAAATATTGCCAGCCGGATGTGGACAGTGTGGTTGAAAAGGTGTATACTGCATGTGGGCGTGGCCTGCCTCTATTTTCGTACGCCGTACAATCACCATGCTTGTTCTAAAAATTGAAAACAAGTATGGCGATTATGTACGGCGGTAATTTTTTTTTATTTAATTATTTCTGTAGTTTTGTAATCTGAGTTCAGCTGGACAGACACACATCAGATCAAAACAAAAATAATAACTTAGGTTACTTCCTAAATTAGTTCATTAGAATAAAGTACTGTTTCCCGTGAGGAATATAATTCATTGTCATTCCAAAAGACTGTTACCTTTTATAAAGAGAAACCCAGTTTCAAACATAATTATGGCTTTATTTCAGGCTGTAGAACTTGTGTGTGCCAAGACATTATATTTTAATGAGCAGTCCCTGGTATACCTTTATATAAAACAGCTTAATTCCGAGTGAAAAACTGCTGCAAATCTTTACAATAGTCCGGTGCTACTACATGAAACTCTGCTACGTATTGCTTCGGCGAATAAAATATGCTACAGTTTTGGGGCTACAAACTCAAATGCTCTATCGCCACACGAAGACACAAAAATGGATTTCTCCTCCTCAAGAAGATACTAATCATTAGGAATATCTATACCAAATAACAAAGAATTAAACGGATCTAAACGATTATCTAGTCGCCCATATAATTGCAGAATAAACCCCGTTTAATACATCCGAAAGCATCAATAATTTTATTGGGAATGTTCTGACATGGTAAATAGGTTGTAATCATCTTCACATTTCACGTAGAAACTGCCGATTTAAAAATGTCAAGAAAGTCAGATTACACATAGAGGAAACCAAGAGATATCTAAAGTACCTGTCAAAGTCATTCTGTCGAATTCTTTTCAAAAAATGTATTTTCCTATGATTTTTAAGAGCCAGAGAATGTCATTCAATTTCATGATGTCAAGAAAGGGATGTTATAGATGGAAGACATCTTGGATATAGAGTTAGTGGTTAAAAACTGCCTGTTACCCGGTTTTTAAGTTGGGCATGGTCGACCACACCCCAACCCAAACCCCACAAAAACAAATGGCTTCAGCGGGGCGATTTACTCTGGTAATTCTATTAAACATTTTAATCCAGGAAAATTAAACTATCACGTAGTTGGAGAATATAACTGACAGAGACAGGTTTTATTTAGCTTGAAAGTTGAAATGTCATAAACAAAGCCGTCCCAGACAATAGTGATCTGTGTGAATATTAAATTATAGCCTATATAATATATGAATGTGTCTATTTTTAAAAGAAATTACAAATCACTCGCCGCTTGCTATGTCTGTAAATGGAATGAAAACCAGCCTGTATATTAGTTAGGTCAAAATACAGTTTAACCCCAACAAAAGGTTCCTCAACTGATTCTGGCAGGGTTTGGTGTACTTTATAACATACTAAAAGTTTACCAAAGTAGGACCCCGGAAAAGTGGGGGTTTTTTAAAGATGGCGTCAAAGATGCCCACCGAAACGTCTTCATGATCATAATTATGTAACTATCAACTCAAATTTGATGATCTTGGGGTCTATTCCTAGGTTTTGGGGGACAAAGAACTCATTAAGAAAATCAAAAATGATGTTGGCCTATTATGTCAAAAATGACCGCCAACACCCCCAAATGACCGCAAGTCCATAACTATTGACTCAGATTTGATGATCTTGATGTCTATCCCCAGATTTTTGGGGATAAGGAACATATTAAGACAAGTTTCGATGTCACTGAGCTGTTCAATCATTACGAAATTGAATTCATGACCTTCAGCTGTCCACTATCACCTATTGCACAAACACCCCTATCCATAGAATAAGTTTCAGAGCCTTCAGTTTTTAGTATCATCCTTCACCTAAATATTGACCTATTGGATGTTGTTTGAATTGTCACAGTTTTCAGTTTGACAAGGGCCACAAACAGCAGTGTAGGGAAGTCCATAGCGTTTGCAGCTGCATCGAGAGGACTTGCATCCCCCCGAACAGTTGCAATGGATAAGTTTCAAGAGTTCGCCAGGCGCAGTATTATTTTGGGTCATAATTCAAATTAACTGATCATTTTCCTGCTTCCACCCCTATTCAGTTGGGTCCATTCCATTTGCCATCCCCCGTACATACCATAATTTGAAAGTACACACATTGGCTATGAAATCTTGTTGCAGGTAATGTTGGGGGAAGCCGTTAAGGAATGACAGATGCTTCAGCAGTTGCCACTTTCTTGGTGAAAATGATATGGCACAATGATGATAGCGTATCATTCGATTTGCCACATAATAGATCAACCATCAGCTCTTTGCCAAGATCTGATATGTCCCCTTGAGATTCGTTTTGAAGGGTGAATGCACTAGCACATGACTTCAGGACAGGATCAGATTTCACTAATTTCTGGCAGGCGGTCTTTTTTCCGATGCCTAAAATCCTTGAAGTTGAATCACAGCCTGAGTAGAGATGTACAAAGAGCAACTCGTTGCATGAATCGTCTCCTAAAGTTTCTTACAACAGGTTAATGTTATACACTTTGTGTGTTTTTTTTTTTTGGTTTTTTTTTTGGGGGGGGGGGGGATTTGACTGGTTGTTTGAACGGAAGTAGATGATCTCATTGTCTGTTCTGGAGTAATGAAGGAGCAAGATCAGCAAATCTGTGACAATTCAAACAACACTCAAGAGGTCGATACGCTCTGAAACTTATTCTGTGATAGTGGGCAGCTGAAGGTCATGAATTCAATTTCATAATGATTCAACAGCTCAGTGATATCCAAAGTTCTCTTAATGTGTTCCTTGTCTCCCAAAACCTAGGGATAGACATCAGATCATCAAATTTGAGTCAATAGTTATGGACTTGCGGTCATTTGGAGGTGTTGGCAGCCATTTTTGACATAATAGGCCAACCTCATTTTTAATGATCTTAATGTGTCCTTTGCCCCCCCCCCCAAAAAAAAAAAACTAGGGAAAGACACCAAGATCATCAAATTTGAGTTGATAGTTACATAGTTATGATC